TTTTTTTTTTGGAGACAGAGTTGCACTTTGTCATGGTTGGTAAAGTGCCATGGCCTTAGCTCACAGCAATCTCAAACTCATGGGCTCAATCGATCCTCTTGCCTCAGCCTTCCAAGTAGCCGGGACTGCAGGTACCCACCACAACACCTGGCTAGTTTTTTTGTTTGCTTTAGGTATTTTTTTAGAGATGGAGTCTTGCTCCACCTGCCTGGGCCTCCCAGAGTACTAGGATTACAGCACCGTCCGAATCTCATGCTTTTTAATGTCATTAACTTAATTTTTACTTTTAACACCTTAAATTTCCTGATTTATAAGTCATTAAATGTGAAAGTTCACCATCCTAATGTTAGCTTACCAAACATTCTGTCAAATACGTCCATCATCCCACCCAACTCACAGGATTCCATAAAAGGGAAGGTGCCTAAAATGCCACCAAACCAGAAACTTTTCCCACAAGCTAGATCTCTGACAACCTACCTGAATGGTTCCAAATCTGTTACCATCCACCTGATCAGACTCCCCATTCAATATCTAAAGATGCCCCCTAATCCACCACTGTTTCATACTACCATACTTAATTTCTTTTAAAGCAGCATCATCTGAAATCATCTTGTTCACTTGATTCTTGGTTGTCCATTAAGAATATAAGAACCGTATAAAAATATAATACAAATGGTGGCCCCTGGAGTTACACAAGGGCCACTATGGAAATGCTTTTATCTTCTTTGTTGTGGGCCTCTCTTTCAAGGAATGTTTCTCTTTCTTGGCCCATTTATGGTGATTCCACTGTAGGTTTCTTATTCTTCCTGTCTGAGTTCAAATATTAGCTCTTCCAGGGAGAGTGACTGTGTGGCCTGGTTTGCCTGGCTCAGTTCTGGTTATGACTCTTGTCCTAGTCTTATTAATAATAATGCCCCTTTCTCCTCTCAAAATAGCTCCTATTTAGACAATGAACTTTATGGCCACCCAACTCAAAGTAACCTCTGAAAAACAATCTCTGCTATCATACTCCTTAACAATGATTCTGCTTTACTTCTTTTATACCATTTATCAGTATTTTAAAATATTATTTTTTATTTAGATACTAATTAATTTCTCTAACCACTAAAATATAAGCTCCATAAAACACAGAATTTAGGAATATTTCCAACTCATTCACTATTGTGTCCTTAACACTCAGGAAGAATACCTCTTACTCTGTAGAGACCCGGCATTTGGAATCTACACGTTGCTTCTCTCAAAGTTCCTATGCAATTAAAGTGATGAGGAGATACTAGAGGCATAGACCTTGGCTCTGGCAGTCCCTGCTCCACAGAACAGACAGGGTCCCAGATTCTTCTGAACCAGCCTTAATTCATTTGGGTATTTGAAATGATGTTTACTTTCATGACTGAGTTAAATAAGTTAAAATATTACCTTATAATAAAGCAACCAGCTTATAAATTTATTACTCTAGGACAAACCCTTTGCTCTCCTTTCACTGAAGTAACTTGAGTATTTATATAAATAAATATTCCAAAAAAAGGAAAAATGCCAATAACAAGCAATAATTAATAAACTGGTTGTTCTTGCTTTGTTAAATAGAAGACTGATAAAAAGAAACTAAATTTAGAATTATCTTGCTTGGCAGAATAATCACTCTAAAAAGATTTAGGAAAATCTTAATCTAGTAGGCCAAAATTATAGATTAAGTTAAATGTGCCAGAGCAAAAGAAAATTAAAGCAAGCTGACAACAGTTCGATTTGAGGATGATAATCTATGATCCAAGGTCAATATTCTTTAAAAATATGAAATATGAATATTTCAGCTGGGCACAGAAGTATTCATCTATAGTCATAGTTACTTGGGAGGCTGAGAAGGGAGGATCTCTTGAGCCTAACAGTTTGAGTCCAGCCTGAGCAACATAGTGAGAACCTATCTCCAAAAACAAAAATTTGATTTGATGCAGAATGATCTCATTTTCATAGAAATATAACTTTTAACACTTCCTTTACCAATCATCTTTGCCTATCTTAATTACATAATTAAAAGATAAAAACAGAGGTAATATGAGATGTTCATTAGGAAGGGCTCTGAGTTAAGACAGGTCTGGACTTGGATTCAACCTCCATCAATTATAAGTATGTGACCTTGGATAAGCCACTTTCTAATGTTCCTCAATCTAAAAAAATGAGAATATTGAAAAAAATAATAAAAATATGAGCATATTAACTAACCTCAAAAGTACGGAGGTCACAGTCACTAAAATAAAACACAGTATAATTACACAGTGCTTAGCACATATTTTGTATGATGATAATGTTCAGATAAGAAATTTACCACTTTAGATTCTGCGGTGGTTTTTTTTTTTTTTCCTGCGGGGCTGGGTTTGAACCTGCTACCTCCAGTATATAGCACCACGCCCCCCTTTTTTTAACCTTTTTTTTGAGACAGAGCCTCAAGCTGTCCCCCTGGGTAGAGTGCCATGGCTTCACTGCTCACAGCAACCTCCAACTCCTGGGCTCAAGCGAGTCTCCTGCCTCAGCCTCCCAAGTAGCTGGGACCACAGGCGCCCGTCACAACGTCCGCCTATTTTTTGGTTGCAGCCATTATTGTTGTTTGGCAGGCCCGGGCCCACCATGTTAGGTGTATGTGGCTGGCGTCTTAGCCGCTTAAGCCACAGGTGCTGAGCCATTTTTTAAACCATTTTTGACACTCTAAAGTTATGTTTCTAAAAGTAGTTTTCTCTATCACTTTAGAGCAATATTTGTCAAGTTTCAGACTAATGGGAATCAGTACATCTGGAATGAATTCAATATTCTGAAACAAACAATGGCAAGGACTGAGAAGCATACAGTTCACTGATTACACACTGAATTAAGAGAATATAACTAGCACAATTCCTCTCTTTCTGAGGCCTATAGGTAACTACTATAAACAACCAATAATGAACCCATCTGTAATACAGTGAAGCTCTAGGGCCTACACAGGTATGTGTGGATTTGGCCTTCAGCCAAATGCATCTCTACTGCAGTGTCTCTCATACCATTGCTACCTTGTTTTTTTGCTATTAGGCTCAGGTGTCAATTGTCACTAATGCCACCATGTGCCCATCTCCAGCAGTACTCACTTTTGGATCTTTATAATTTTCTGCTAAAATATGTTGTAAATTAGAAAAAAGAGTCAAGTTTGTTGGATTAACTATAATAAAACTCAGTGGGTCCTATCTGAGAAGACCAAAGTATTTCTGTAAGTATAGCAGTGAACCATATTACATTCATTTGAACATCTCTGAAGTCAGTTCTGTTTAAATCTCAGCTTTCAACTGTGCTTAGGTTAGTTGTAACTGCCAAATACATGACCTCAAGTAAGTGAAATGTAATCATATATATACATACATACATACACACATACATACTTGTGTATTGTGTGGACAACCTCGTGTTTGTATGTATATGTAGGTGTACATATGTATGTAAATTTCTCCAAAAAGGTTCCAGTTCCTTGATGGAAGAAAAGACTTAAAACAAGAAATAGCCACAACAAAATAAGAAATACAGAGAGACACATGGGTTTCTGAATTCTCTCCATTCAAGTTTATTCCTGGTCTACTTCATTAAAGGCTTATGTGTTGAACTATTAATAATGTATATTAAGTATTGCCTTTCTAATTTACTTTTATGAAAGTGAAAACCAAAGTTTTCACCATAAGGTTATCTAATACAAAATCTTATAACTAAATACTTCAACCCTTCCTACATGTAAGATTGAAGGCACTCTGTAAGCAGCACACTCTATAAATAATGCAGAAACTTAACATTGCTCAAGGTCACCAAAGTTTTGGCCAAAAACTGTGTTCAAGTACAAATAACTGATAACTAGTGACTAAACTAATGACTAAACCAATAACTAAAAAGTTTTCATTTTCCATTATAGAAATAGAATTTGCAAGAACAATTATGTATATTTTAGACAGAATCTCACTTTGTTGCCCTTGGTAGAGCTGTGGCATCAAAGCTCACAGCAACTTTAAACTCCTGGGGTGAAGTGATTCTCTTGCTTCAGCCTCCAAGAGTAGTTGGGACAAGAGGCACCTGCCACAACACCAGGCCATTTTTAGAGATGGGGTCTTGCTCTTGCTCAGGCTGGTCTTGAACCCATGAGCTCAGGCAATCTACCTACCTCTGCCTCCCAGAGTGCTAGGATTACAGGTATGAGCCACTGAGCCTGGCCTATATTTTAGTTTTATCTTTTCCTTATTTGCTAATATACCTTCAACTATTTCTCAGAATATCCTATCAAAATATAAATCCTAAAAAATTTAAATCATTTTTTAAAGTTTTAAAATTATTTCAAATCTATCCCTAAACTAAAATTCCACTATTCCCTCTATATGCCATACAGTAATGAATTACAGCCAAAAAAATCAAACATTTTTACATTTATTTTCTCCCCAAATATTTATAAATTAGAATCAGTTTATGAAAGAATTAGTTATTTTATTATATTTTCTTTGCAGAAAAAATTTCCCAGTTCACTTTGTTCTGAATTTCAAATACCTATACACCAATGTGTAAAGCTCTAGGAGGTGTTTTTAAATTACTGTAAAGACATTTTGTTCTTATTTAAATGTATTATATTAAGCTTTTAGCATTTCATTATCATGTGAATCATTTATCAATTTATATTGTATTTGTCTACTTACCAATTCAGTTTATACCAGAGATGAAAACTTTAAGATGTTTGCAATAATCTGTGTTGTATTTCTTTTAGGGAAGATAGGGAAAGCAGAGTGGAGTTAGGGTGGTCATCTTATTACCACCACACTCTTCAATTTTCAGATAACAATCTCATTCTGAAACACCAATTCTAAAAACTAAATTTAAAAAGTTGTACAAAAACTAAATAAGCCTGTTTCATTAAGAGATGAAGCAAACTATTTCAAAACGACTCATGTGCCCATTTCAAACTGGCCACTATGTCTCAAGAGACAGAAAAGCCACAACCAAGGGTTTTTTAGCAAATCTAAGCTTGAATCTTCAGAAGTGTCTTTCATATCTGATAAAGAGTGAGCAATTGCAGGCAGACAGGGTATTGGCAATAGGTCAGAAAGAAAAAAAAAAGATGTAAAGTATAATATGAGTAAGTTGTAGAAAAAAATCTACCGCTTGTATCTAAATTATTGCTTCAAAATATTTTTCCCCCATAGAATTAAATCAATACATTTGCTTCTTATAGTCTCAGTAGTAACTAAAAGTGAATTACAGTGTCACTATTAACTAAGCTAAAATTTGAATTACACATACCAAAAGTTAATTGCACTGTTTCTTTGAAAAATCTTACTAATCACATTAAATGCAAAGTCAATGGGCTAGACACCTGTAGCTCAAGCAGCTAAGGCACCAGCCACATACACTAGAGCTAGTGGGTT